TGATGGAACTATCGGCAAAAGAGGACGTAATTAACTGGTTCTCTTGAGAATGTACGAAAAATCTAAAAATTTATATGCGAAACAAAACTAGATACCTGTAGTCCAAAATAAAAAGCAAGTCTCGACAGCCAACTACAACTAGCGATCTGTGTGATAAGTGTACTACAACTAGCGATCTGTGTGATAAGTGTACTACAACTAGCGATCTGTGTGATAAGTGTACTAGAACTAGCGATCTGTGTGATAAGTGTACTAGAACTAGCGATCTGTGTGATAAGTGTACTACAACTAGCGATCTGTGTGATAAGTGTACTAGAACTAGCGATCTGTGTGATAAGTGTACTACAACCAGCGATCTGTGTGATAAGTGTACTAGAGCTAGCGAACTGTGTGATAAGTGCACTAGAACTAGCGATCAGTGTGATAAGTGCACTAGAGCTACCGAACTGTGTGATAAGTACACTAGAACTAGCGATCTGTGTTTGTAAGTACACTAGAGCTAGCGAACTGTGTGATAAGTGCACTAGAACTAGCGATCTGTGTGATAAGTACACTAGAACCAGCGATCTGTGTGATAAGGTCATTAGAACCAGCGATCTGTGTGATAAGTGCACTAGAACTAGCGATCTGTGTGATAAGTGCACTAGAACTAGCGATCTGTGTGATAAGTGCACTAGAACTAGCGATCTGTGTGATAAGTGTACTAGAACCAGCGATCTGTGTGATAAGTGCACTAGAACTAGCGATCTGTGTAATAAGTACACTAGAACCAGTGATCTGTTTGACAAATGCACTAGAACTAGCGATCTGTGTGATAAGTGCACTAGAACTAGCGATCTGTGTGATAAGTGCACTAGAACTAGCTATCTGTGTGATAAGTACACTAGAACTAGCGATCTGTGTGATAAGTACACTAGAACCAGCGATCTGTGTGATAAGTGCACTAGAACCAGCGATCTGTGTGATGAGTGCACTAGAACTAGCGATCTGTGTGATAAGGGCACTAGAACCAGCGATCTGTGTGATAAGTGCGATAGAACTAGCGATCTGTGTGATAGGTGCACTTGTAGTAGCGAGCTGTCTGATAAGTGCATTTGAACTAGCGATCTGTGTGAAAAGTGCACTAGAACTAGCGATCTGTGTGATAGATCTGTGTGATAAGCGATCTGTGTGATAAGTGCACTAGAACTAGCGATCTGTGTGATAAGTGCACGAGAACTAGCGAACTGTGTGATAAGTGCACTAGAACTAGCGATCTGTGTGATAAGTGCACTAGAACTAGCGATCTGTGTGATAAGTGTACTAGAACTAGCGAACTGTTTGATAGGTGCACTTGCAGTAGCGAGCTGTCTGATAAGTGCATTTGAACTAGCGAGTTAATTGTTTTCGTCTAAGAAGGTTCCAGTCTCTCTCGGTACAGAGACAACGAGGGTTTGTTCTGGCCCTGTAACTTTTATCTCCTCTGTTCATTTTTGTCTCATTCTGGTGGTTTTCAGTGTCCTGATATGATGTCGTTAAATTTATATTTAAAGTTGGCTATATACAAGCCTTTTAGCAAACGTTTTGAACTATTGCACGATTACCCTCAACACCATGAGTTTTGCGCTCACTATTGCTCTCTGCATCCTTGGACGAGGTAAACTAGCGATCTCAGGTTTGCTGCATTTAAATTCTTAAGATTAGAAGCACCTGCTCAGAATAAATTTATAATCATTATTTATAGGCTTTTTATTCGTATGAAATAAACTTTATTTACCCAAGAAACTGAGTTAAAGAGTAGATAATCCCCTCGATATTTAAACATTTCGGCTCGTGTTTTATCCGCCCAACTTTCCTTTTCCTAATAACACCACTGACGAATTCTGAAAGGAAGTTGTATGATACGGTTGTATCAATTTATGTCTTTTACATTAAATTTTAGTCATGAATTCATCCTACGCACTGTTGCGGTAATCTAGCCAAACTGTGCCTCTCTGTTCCGTAGCTGCTCCTTTTCCACACTAAAGTCTTTACTGATGCGCAACTCTTTTTAAACTCATATCTTTAATTCACGAATACGATGCATAGGGATAGAAACAAAATATGGTAGGTATATTTCCCTACCCGATCTCCATAGCAACACTCTGTTATCGTTTCCGCGAGAGATGCATGTTGATGACGTTTATAGGGAAATATCATTTCCGTCGCCATTGATCGCATTTGGGACCTGGCCCCACTTGTATAAAATATCTCAATTTCAGATTTCCTCAAGCCCAGATTTTCCTCAGTTAATATCTCCTTGAAAATATCTTGTATGAAAATTCCACAAGGAATTTCAGGACATCCTAGCCGATGACTTCCTCCTGTTCCTTGAGAAAATTTTATACAAGCCGTTTTTGAGGAGATATCAGCTGAGGGAAATCTCGACTTGAGGAAATCTCAAGTTGAGATGTTTTATACAAGTGGGGCCAGGTCGTATAAGGTTCTGAGTTCAGCGTGTTCCGTGCTCGTAAGTAGGCCTGGTGGTTTCCTCTTTACTGATAACCTTGTTATCACTTCGTTGTAGTCTATTAGTACATCTATCAACACCTAACAATGTGAGTTTTAAATGCAGTACCTTTGATGTATATTTAATATCGAAAAAATATCTTTACACAGTCCCAAAGTCAAGGTCAGGATTGGATCGTGTATGTTAAAATATTAAGTTGTTCCTGCACAAATTGTCTACAATCACGACATGATCGTAATGTGGCGAAGGTTGTCGTGGATTGGAATGTATTGATATGTTTGTGTTTTAGCTGAAGTCTATATTCAGTTTAATAGCCCGTGTACTCCAGTGTATAATTTGTACTGGCAAATGTATAATATTAAACCCAAACTTGAACGTCAGTCATTCCACAAACACCAACCTGGGTGGGAAGGTAGCTTTTAGTTCATTTAAAAAATCAATGGTTATTTGTTAATATTGCCGAAATATTCCTATAAACCATTAAGCCTGTTCAATCAATTTGACACAGCTGTATTTGTCCAATGCATCATGCCTTCAACAGTCTAGAACAATATCATCGCTTTTGTGTGTCTTTAGCAGGTGCCTAATGTCAATGCCTTATCAGTGTTTAATGTCCGATGACATTTTGCCATGTCAGAGATTAAAATTAGAAGACAAAACTTTTTACTAGACCCCGTTCGGCATCAGAGTATATATGATTTTTAAAATCAATCGACACCTCCGTCAGTAGGAATGATAATCTGACAAATTTTAATCCGTTTTATCAAAATAATTTGGTATTTCAGAGTAACGCACATCAAAAACATGTCTTTACATCTCATCTTGGGAATTTGATTTCACTTTGAGTCAAATATTGAAGGAACCGGTCATGATTTCGGGTCGGTATACCATTCACAAGTGTCAAAGGGTCATCGACTCATTCTTTTTTACACGGTTCGTTGTTAGTGATCCGAGAATTCACAAGTTTTGTTACGATATTACAGATTCAATGTTGCAATGGTTTTTCCTGTCGTTTTTTAAAGAGTCCGGAACATGCAGGATCTCGAGAACACATGCGGGAGGTATTCAAAGGGAAGTAACTCTAGAAAGCTAGGGGTTCAGGTACTTGCTGAATGAGTGTAGTTCTGATGAAATTTCATAGTTATAAACTGTGGAGTTATCCTATTAATAACATAACTTTTGGTTTAATGTAATATCTTACAGAGAAGAACTTGATGACAGAAACCAGATGAACAGGACTTTGTTAGGAATCGGGAATAGTTTTTGCCAGGATTTTGGATACTGTATGGCATAACAGTGTATTAAAAGATCACAAACTTGTGCATTTCCATCAGATATCAAACAATTTTCACACGAAGCAATAATTCGAAAATAGAATTATTCAGCTAGGATATAAGTTTGGACATCAAATTGGCTTGGTAAGGTGTTCCTGAATATGCTAATTAAATTATCATCCTGAATATGCAAATCAAATTATCGTCCTGAATATGCAAATTAAATTCTCATCCTGAATATGCAAATATACACCTCTTGAATATGTCTGTTTCAAATTAAAATAAAATGTCCACAAAGATAACATAGCAGCTTTTTATATTTTTTATTGTAGAAATTAGCATACATATATACACAATGCCATAGCAACCATGTAGAGGTCAAAGGTCAGGGCATGTCTGGGGTCACTCAGTGCTTGTGAGCAAAGCAATTATAATCATAAGGATATTGATTTTTGTGGAATAAGCTTTGAAATTTTCATAATATATTACTGATGAAATATGCCTACATGTATGTTTCATGATTACCTTTCTGCATCAATATTAGTCCATGTCTATGTCAGTTATATATGGTATGAAACACGTACCATCTGACTGTAAATAAAGTTTCAAGGTAACACATATTTCTATAATCATAAATATATAATTGTCGTGAAGAAAAGAGGTAGAGAGTGAGGCGACTCCTTGAGAAGGACAGGACAAGCAAGACCTGGAATCACAATATAACCTCAATGCTTCAATTATTAAGATGACACTTAAATTATGTTTAATATAACATGGTAGTGATATATGAGATTTCTATCCTAACACCCCTAAACATCCATATTGGTATAAACCGCATGATTATAATATATGTGATTTATATCCTGACACCCCTTAACATCCATATTGGTACAGACCTCCCATTACTGATGGTTCTTAATTTAAGATTATAAGGGGCTGAAATGATTGGAGAATCCAATTATCACGGAATAATCATCACACGTTGGGATTTTTGAAGTGGGAATATGGGTCAACAAACATCGTAACATTCCTCTTCTATATATGTAAACTTAAAAAAAAAATATCTGTAAAATATTTAATATAAAGTATCAGGATTGAGATTGTGTAAATATATATATATATATTTATATACATAAAACCATGTTTATATGGTTGTATACAAGTAGTAGTTATTTCTAATAAAAACAGTTTGTGCATAGTCATTATATATATCAAGCAAAAAAGTCCACTTCGAAAAGCAAAGTCAAATCTTTATTTCGTACTTCATCATTCATTCGCATATAATATAATTTATTGATAATAATACCCTTCTGCGAAGGTCTATAATATAAGATTTCAAACACAAGATTAAATAGTTAGAACTGATAGCTATACAACCAATTTTCTCTCTCGCAATCCAAGAGAATAAAACTATAGAGATGTGTATTTTACTAGTTACAAGACATGTGTCATGAGAAGAGTTCAAATTAACAAACACCTTTTTTGTGACATTGATCAGCCAATATTTAGAAAATATAAAACTTGCTATGGTAACTTAATGATTCTAAACTTACCACATTAATTTTTTTTTTTGTACATTTCTGCTCGATCAAATTATTCCACAAAGTCAAAATATTTTCTACACCCTCACTTCTCATAATTGGAAGAAAGTCCACATTCTTCACCAACTAAACAAAGCACCATTTGTAAATGTACTGGACAAAAGAACAGTATTTAAACTTCATAATAAAATCTCTCAAAAAGCTTTAATAAAAATCTACAATTAAATTGGTTATTTCTAGCAATAACAACACATATCAACTAATGATGCAGATATTTATACAGAGAAATTGTACTATGGCAAGAGAAAGTGTTGCACTATTGTTCAACAATATTCCGAATGTCAACCCTCAGTATGATGTTGTACAATGTTGTATCATGTTGGATAGTATCATAAATCAACAAGGAACCTGTTCCCCCTTAATTTCTACAGTTGACAATTCCATCTTGTGATCTTGAAAGGTCTATGTGGTCCAAGAGGGGAGGAACTTTTCTCCTCACTGATATTTCATACATAAGCACACATTATTTGTTCAATGAGCATATTTCCTGGAGAAAACATCTATTTTTTTTTGGCATTCAGATGTTTAATCCAAATTGTGTAAAGCATATTATTGCACTTCAAAATCTAAAATATCTAAATGCTGAGGCTGGCAATAGAGATACATGTTTGGTAGAAATATTCAACAACAGAACTCCACACAAACATATTTTTCTATGCAGCTTGTTTTGGCTATGGTTAACAATAGGTCTATATCTGCTTCACGAAAATCACTGCAATTCCTTTCCAACATTTCTTGATTAAAAACATCAACTGCTCGTCATCTCAGCACTTTTACCATATATACAATTTATGACTTTTTTTTTAAGCAAATAAACATTATTTTCAATGTTGTAAGCAAAATGTCATTATACTCTGACATATATTTTTAATGTCATAAGCACAATCATTTTTTTAATGATTTCCTTCTAGATGACCTTGTTACTAGTTGACCTTGACACAGAAGGGACTGCCTGGGATGTGATCCGGTCCCCACTTGACGACTAACATATACTCTCCCATTTCCTTGACGATGTAGTTAATTTTGTAGACGCCACTGCCCTGGTGTTTTACACACAATTCCTCGCAAGGCCCCTTCGGTCCAACCATACCCACATACAAGATGTTGACACCTGCAATCAACCGATAATGACACTTATAACTTGATAAAAACATCATAGATTTGACGTGATACTTTATCATCATTTTTAATATGTATGTATATTAAGACGATATAAATCAAATTTCCTAAATAGATAAGTACTCCTATACTTGGAAACATAACTGCACTAAATAGATGTTTCTGATAAAAAATTTCAATGTTCAAACAAATATGAATATTAACCATAAAATAAATTTGAAAAAAAAAAAAAAATCTCATACAGAAAATGATTTTTTTTTTTTTGTGGTAAGATTAAAAAAGGACATGGACCATGCCATTATACGTACCAGCCATCGTTGTGTCGACGGTGAATGTGGACTGTTTGCCACGGAAAGCTTTCTTCATTCCATTACCCTCACATGTGACATTCGCAGCCTCTGACTGAAATTTGGGAAGGTTGGTGAATCTGCTCATAATGCTTGTCTTTGTGACGGTTTCCACAAGGCACGTTGACAACTCCTGCATGCTTGATGCCTTTCCTTGTCCTAAATATAGCAACATAAAAATAGGTCAGCCATCATCATGTCAACAAAATATCTGGCATCAAAATTTGTCAAATTTGATATTGACCTTTAACCTGATGGCCTTGACCTACCATCAGGTGACATCTCACTTGATTTCAGCCAATCATGCTTCATCATGTCATTGTAAATATTAATCAGTAACCTTCAGATATATCCTTTATCTATTCTTTTTATTCCAATTTCTACTGATAGTAATGATGACCTTTGACCTCTGAACAGGAAAAGCAAATAAGATCAAGTAACTCCTGTAAAGAAGCAATGAAAAATTGTTGAATGTTATCAATCAAAAGGGAAGACAACGAGCCCTGATAATAAATGGTGTTCCAGCGAGTTTCTGTGCACATGCATTACGAATCTCCACGGAAATATGGTCCAGGTTTTATCACCTAGGAACTTTGGTATTCAGTACTGACCTGTAATTTTTGCCTTAAATGGACTACCGGCGACGTAAGAACCAGCATATCGGATAGAGATAAGGTAATCTCCAGGGGCGGTGGGTTTGTATGTGAACTCATAACCCTCCTCTGTTTCCTTACACTCGAGTTTGACCTTGGAGGGTCCTTCAACTGTCACAGCCAAAGCTCCACTTCCAGCGTTACACGTATTCACGAAGAATTTGGCTGGCTCACCTGTAAGAATAACCAACAAGAAAATGAGGTCAAAACTAAGAAGAAATCTGCAATCTATCAAATACACAAAGATATCGTGACTTAATTGTAATATGTTGTAATCACACCTGGTTGGTAGATATAATCCTGTGATCAATAGCCTCCCTTGGATTATGTAAAATTTAGAAAAAGTAACAGATGAATCAGTCATTATTTACATCAAGAGGCTGACTCTTTGTACAGAATTTCTAAAACTTATTGTGAGATGAGTTTTAGGATAACTTGGTTTTCAGACAAAACCTACCAGTTGTTCCCATCCTAAGTCCATCTCCTGATACGTTTACCATGCCTGGATCGGCATCAATCTTTCCAATCATGATACGGAATGGGCTCTCTGGGATCTGACATCCGTCATAGCTGACAAACACCATGTGGGGACCATTTTCTCTTGGGATGAACCGAACAGCATATTCACCTATTGTAAACAAAAAATATTGTATTTTCTATGGCTACATACACTAAAGTATAAACACTTCACACAAATCACTTGTCAAAAATTCTTTTTACCTTCATCAACTACACAATTCAATTTAACAGCCGCAAGTACATCATGGGTACATGCTGGGCACTGTTTTCTAGAACGCAGCCATAAAATTTACCATTGCTACTCATAAAAGATCTGAAATTTATGAATTTCAGTATTAATGATAATCTTTGGTTGCTATAGGGTTCTCACAAAAAAATATAATGTTGTGCGACGAAAATCTTCCTTTTTGTTTTGATTGTGAACTTACCCTCATCAATTTCCTGGATAAAGCCCTCCTCCTCAGCACCAGAGGGGGTCAGAACCATTGCCTTGATCTTGCCTGGTTGGGCACCATTGAAGTGAACTACGAATGAGCATGGCTTGCCAATCTGTAACACAGAATAGTTAAAAAAGAACTGAAACAACAAGCTATCTTTAAAATGTTGTTCTTGGCACACATCAAGATTGTTTTGTCACAAAAGTTGACCTACCTAAAATATTTGCTTTGGTTATCAACATAAATAAAATACGAAAAATATTATCTTTCAAGCTGAAGACCAATAAAAACTTTTTGTATATTCTTGCGACAACAAGAGTCATAGGAGGAATAATGTCCATCAAATTAACATTATCTTGTTTTGACAACTCTGACAAAACTGTTTCTTCATGCCAGCAATTTTTCTTCCATAGCTTATCAAACACTTACTTCTCCAAATAGAAAATTGAGATTTTGCCAATAAATGAGAAATAAAAAATGGAACTTTTTTTTTTTTTTATAAATGTGAAATGAATTCTGATAACATACTCCTTGTCCCTTTGACTGGAGTGCGGACACGGACAGCTTGCGGGCATCGCCTATGCTTGGGGTGACGTAGACTCTGTATGGTGACTGGGGTATGTGTTCATCATTAAACTTGATGGAAACCATGTACTCTCCAGGCTCTGTCACTGTGTAGCTGACACCACATGAGCCGTCCTTACGATCATCAAAGTCAAGCTCAGCCTTAGAAGGTCCTTCTACAGCAATTGACAAACCGCCAGCTCCAGCCTCACGTGTGTAGATGTTAAACTCACCTGAATGTCAAGGTTGGTCAAATTAGTATCCATTAATAGTAAAAAATCGTCCAGAAGATATGCTACAAATCATTTACAAGTTTTCATTGATATACAAACTGAGATCACAATATTATAATCCGAAAATGTGCGACTCGGACCGAAATGCAAGAGGTTCATCCAGCTCTATACAATCGTCCTGGAGTCTTTCAACTGTAACGTGTAACAGGTCATTACATGAAAATATTAACTTAATGAGTATCAGTCCTTTATAATATAATGAAACACTTACATGGTTGGTTGATTTCCCCCTTCTCCAGACCAGGACCAGCAGCGTGCACCTTGTGAGAACCTCCACCAGCAATAGGACCTACTGTAAACTCAAATGGACTACCTGTAACAGAAAGCAAGCATGCTTTTAGCTCAGCAACGACACTGCCATATCATGCAATCGGGTAAACCTTCCTTGTATGAACAAACTGACTCCCATCTGTGCTCAAGATCAATAAATGATAAAGGGGAGATAACTATGGTGAACTGGGAGTATTTCTGAAAAGGGGAATAAATGAGGAATGACTTACAATAAAGGAAATCATTATTATAATTATCATTATTGATAAAGGGGAGATAACTATGGTAAATTGGTAATATTTCTGATAAGGGGAGAGAAATGATACAATAAAAACAACAACTGGAATTAATGAAGATGACAAAGATAAAGCTTTAATGAAGTAAGTTGATCATTTGTGTTAAAGGGGTACCTTGATGACAAATGGGCAAAACTGTACCTGGAATATGCATATCCTTGTGTTTCACACAAACGGTGTGTACTCCCATTTCCTTTGGAACAAATTTAATACTATAGTGGCTGTCATCTAAACTAATGATGTCACACAACTCTGTAACACCTGTTGGACTGGTTACCGACGCTGTCATATCAAAAGGACTTGTCCCTACAAATGTAAACAAATTCAGACGTTGATCCAATGTAATTCTTGTTTGCTGGTATAATGACGTTTTGTTAATATTTTCATTTTCCATCCATTTCCGTGAAAAATTCAATAATACAGAAATTTGTTAATTTTATGAGTCGCAGTACTCCGTTTACAAATAGAAAAACAGCCACCGTATAATACATACCAGTTGTAATTAGAATGCACACATTTGCATACAATTTATAAGTTGACTCCAAACAATACATATGAAAAATGATTAGAATACTATAGTTAATTATATAATAAATGATATCCAAGCAAATGAAGTTTTACTGAAGATCAATCACAGCATGTTAAAAAAATTGAGAAAAAATGAACACTGAGAAAAAAAAGCTTAAAACAGGATCATGCTGATTTTTCTGGCTGTTTTGTGCAATACCAATCACATGAACAGCTGATGGTAAAAAAAAATTAATTCAGAACTCATGATAGGTCAAATCATACATGCTAATTTTGCTAAGAATTTAATAAAACAGCACATTTCTTTGGAACATAGTGAATTCCTACAGAAAACTTATGTTGGAAAAGTCACAAGTCAAAAGGTCATAGGTCAACAGATCCATGCTGACATAAGAATCAAAAGTTCTGATCAGAAAGGTTATTTGGGTCAAAAGATCAGAAATCACAGGTCATAGTTCATAAAAGTTGACAACCTTAGAGTAAAAGTAATAATACAAATTGAAGGGAATATTTACTGTAAATGAACTATCCTTCATGCATGATCTACTTTTGCTAATTTTAAGATTGAAACAAATTCATGAAATTGCTGCTAAGAATTTTAGCTGTTGAAGATATTAAGTTTGCAGTCTGAAATGTTTTAGAGGAAGTTTCCCAAAAACAAATCTTCAGTACTTTTTTAATATCAGATTTTTTTATCTTTTATCAGGTAAGGTTAAATCCAAGCTGGGGTCAAATCCAAGCAGGACTTGTTGACAAACAAAAACACATAGGTGTAACACAACCTTTCAATCATTAATTTTTCCAGATGAAATTGTCACCACATCGGCTGTTTGGTGGACAATATACACGTATTGTGGGGTTACCAGAAAGGGGACTCAGAGAAGGTTTCGGGAGGAGGAGGGATTCAAATTTACAACAACAATAACAAGGCCTTAAGTTCTTCACCTTCATGACTACCCTACCTTTGGAAACATGAGTTTCTAATATCCGAAAGGCACCAATTTTGGCTAAGTATTGAACTACAATAAAACAGCAAACTTGTAGTACTAATTACAACACACAGGTGTTCATTGTAACAAAGAATATGAAACAGTCGCAACAGTTTTAAACAGTTGCTATAGTTACCAAGTACAACAAATTTGGATCAGTGGCTATGGTCACAAAAAATGTAATACAGCTGTCATGGTCACAAAAATATCGGGAAATATGTGAAACAAATGAAAACAACAACCTTGATTACAATAAAATTTTGCAACATGGTGTTTAATCAAGTGGTCCTTCTTGAATATAATGTTCATCGTGAATAAGGAAAGTTTTGAAGCAGACAGAATTTTTGCTTGGAAAAGTGAATAATTGTGTTACGTTTAGCTTTGTTTCAGTGCCAACTGCTAGCATTAATGTGAGAGTATTTCCTGTGCGTTGTGTGTTTGATAGCCGAAGTCTACTTACTTCCCATCCACCAACTGCCTCCAAAATCTTCTCCATCACAAACAACACACTCAATTATTTTACAAACTATTTATCATTCTAACAGTGCCTACAACTGTAAATGTCTGACAGGTGATGTATGAAACACAAGTGTCCCTGTTTACGGCTAAATGTTTCCATAGTAACCAAATAATCTTGTTCTCCATTCCTTGGTATCAACATCACGTTAATGAGGAAATTCAAACTTGAAAGAGGGTGGGTGGTTACCATGGTTTAATAAAAGTCAAGATTTCCTTAGGAAAATGGTATTTTCAAAGTTATTAATAGTAACGTCTTCAGACCTGGAAGATTTTTCCGACAAAATTCTTCAATGCTATTGGAACTAAAACTAATGTTATGATTTATCACTGAATCTTTCTATATACCAAAATCCTTTAATGTAACCATGCAAACATCAATGTAAAAACATCCATCGAGCTCCCTCCTGTTATCTCCCAAATGTATTCACATGCGGTTATAAATACATTTAAAGTTATTTTTAGATTGAGTGTACTTAAAATAAAATTTTTCAGGTTGGTTGATGTTGATAATATACCTGATATGCGATCTTACATTCACATTAGATTCATGGAAAAGCGACTTCAGATATACAGAGAAGTTGTACCCTGGTCGTGCTTACACAGAACAGTGATGAAAAAGATGCAACTCGAGATAGTTATATATATACTGCTCCTAACAACAAACAGTATCGCCTCAACCCCATTTTTGAAATATTTTAGCAATATCTGAAAGCAAAACACTTGATGCAAGGAGACTGTAAAACCAAGAAAATAAAACCCATTAAACTTAACCTGGCAGTTTTACATACAAACCTGCTAACATGACTTCACAAAGATTTGAAGAGTGGATGGTGCTAACAGAGAATGTGTTTTTAATGAATGAAAATGATGTAAACTTCATTCATAAAAGACTGATTGTATTTACAAACTTTCAAGTTTTTAAACATCAAATGAGTAAGTAATTGGACAAGCCATACCATTACAAATTTAAACACACATCTGCTATTAAATATACAACATCCTTTACTACACATGACTTAACGGAATTTTAATGGGGTATATACAAAAATGTTTTAATTGATCTTTAATGGATCTTTAATTGGTGATTAATGAAACTTTATGGCACACTAAGAAACTACTTCCCCTAAACATGTGCACTAGACAGTATTTATGTAGCGTTTTTTCTTCTTTTTTCACAGCCAGAGGAAGCATGGATATCTGCCAAAATTTCAGGAATGTTTGTTTCACAATACCAACATTTTGCTAAGTGTCTATCATCAAAAAACACAAACTGTTGAAGAGCCTATCTTCAAACAGAAAACTGTGAAATCTTAGAATTTAAATTTCAGAACATCTCAGTTGTGATTAAGATGAAATGGCAAACCAAATTAAACCACATTCGTCATGAACAAAAAGCCGACTTTCACAGGAAATATCAGGAGTTTTTGGAATTTTTAAAATTTTACTTCAATTAGACATTTGTGAAATTTATGAAATCACTTCATTAATTAAGATTTTTATGTTTTAATCATTAATAACAGCATGCAAGTGAAAAAAATATATTGTTAACTTGTCTGTCAGCAAATTAAGAGTAAATATTGAAGAGCCTGGTTAATTAATTAGACAACTAATTAAGAAACATCTTGACCTGAAATACAGGTAATTAGTCGCAAAACAGTAATAAAAATGCAGGTTATTAGTTAATTAAATTAGTCGTCTAATCTACAGTTATCTTATTATCTAATTCATCATGTTGTTTGACAGAATTGGCAAGAGTTACCATATGACAGCATTACTGAAATGTTAGATCAGAGTTACACAGGTGAGATTAAATCCTTACCGGGGATTTTAAGACTGAGTTCACACTGACTGCCAATATGAGTGATATCTGCAGCCTCTCTGTGGCGTGTGATCCTCTCTGTAATTCTGGAAGAAGACTCTCCCCCAATCTTCACTGTGTATGGACTTCCTGTTCAAACAAAATCAAAAAGTTTTGTTGTAGTTTCATTCGATCCAGCTTTTTCTTTTGTAACATTGGTCATTGTTTAATATTTCAGTCAATGATTCCTCTCTACTGCTGTATACTTATCACTCGGAGATGAAATTTTTCCATTCTGACGAATCTGGTAGCCATTTTTTTGTTTAAGAAATATAGAAATATATGTTTGAACTACCTTAATGATATGAACATAAAACAAACAAACAACTTAACTGTCAACAGATATATCTACCAATTATAATGTAGTGATCATAACCTATATAGGGGAGGGGGAGGAAGGGGGGGGGGCGACGTCTCCATGTGTGTTTGATCGTTTTTTATCGGCTAAGAAAATTTATAGATTTCACAATTCAGTTTGTACATAATAACTAAAAGCTTCTTTGTTGGTACAAAATCTGTTCATAGTTAGACACACAAAAATGTTACTGGAACATACTCAAAACAAATCATGTTTACAGATGTTTGGAACAAGAAACAGAAATATTCAGTTCTAAGAGATAATGATTTCTGCCACGCCTTCCCCATCTGATATGAGCTAGATATTTGGAAGATCAAATAATTGCTGCAATGGTTCAATGCTAAATAGACCTTTATTTGATATATTAGAAGTAGATCTCAATGTTTATGTAAAAATCACATGTACATGAAAGTATATTCTTTTAAGCATCATAGTAACAATAACCCATCTCCAATATTTCTATTCTATAGCCTCCTCCCCTACAGAGATAAAAAATTACACCAACAGCAACCAATAAAATGTCAGAATAAATTAAGTCCTGAACTACATTTTTAAGATAAGCGCCCCCTGGTGTGTTTCTATGACATAAGTATAAAACTGACTACAGCCAGACTATTCCTCCCTCCACTAAACAAGCTGATACCAATCTTAGTACAACCCCCATCACCAGTTGAAGATTTATATCAATAAAGAACTCCATATTTCCTCTAAATTAACAAAAACTTCTCAATATTTCCATTGTGTCTCTCCTAAATTCAACCAAATACTTTTTCAACAACATCCCAGTATTTTCATTTCCCCCCACTCCCCCCCCCCCCCCCCAAATCTTTTTTGGCAAGTTTTCTTGCACTTAATAAGAGGTTTTTCTCCACTAATCTGATGAGCAACATCAACATCAAAACAAAACAAAAACAAAGCACATATATTTTTGAGCAGATGTATTTAAAATGCTATATTTTACATCCAATTCCAATGAACCACTGCTGGTGTTTTTAATTTTCATTTTCTCATTTGACGAGTTCAGAGGCCACTGAAAAAGTTTTTTCTTTTTGAAATGTTAAGATTTTCAGTATATAAAAAAAAAATTTGACGGGGGTGAAGGGATTTAATTTGTGACACCCATGACTTTAACATCCTTAATCAACACAAAGATCACTTTGATGATCAAATCCCTGATATATCTGACTAGTGACTTGGCAGACGACCGATGTGTTTATTAATATAAATATCTTAGCTGTCTGTCTCATCTCAGAAAAAATTTCAAAATCTCTGTTCATGGAAGAAATAATCATGGCACTAAACATTCTTGAAAATATATCTTTACATCTTCATACTTAATCAAAACTGATTGGATGTTTCACACAATAACTATCCTGAAATAGGGAAATGAAAAATACTTTAACTTTGTTTGCGTCTACATAGGAGTCTAGCTGAAGATATAACCATTTCTAACATCTGGTATGCCGTACCTGAACATTACGCAGTGATTTTATCACCCTATCACAATCTGTAGATAAACTAATAATGAATTAATAGGGTATTCAGCAATTGTGAAAATCTGCAAATACTTTTTACATTACAAGACACGTGGAAAATAAATTTACCGTTGGATGACTGAAATTAAGCAAAGGGTTCGGGTGCACTTTCTTATTTCAAATAACAGTAGGCACTTTGATATGCTCTGGAACGGTAAATAGTCTTGAAAACGTGGTTTCAAGTTTTTATTACAAGTTCACTAATTGGCCTTGACGATAACTGAAATGATAACCTGTCACTTAGATTTCAGCATAAAATCGTCTGTTTAGAAAAAAAAACCTAGCGGATGATCAAAGACAATCGAAAATGTCACAGTGTTTAGTTAGAATCTTTCAACAATTAACATTTACCTGGCACTTGCTCGTCGGCGAATTTGATGTTAATGACATAATTTCCAGGCTCAGTTGGTTTGTAAGTTACACGACAACTTCCATCTTCATTGTCCAGACATTCAATGTCAGCCTTGCTGGGGCCTTCAATGGACAGACTCAGACCACCGTAGCCTAGCAACAGATATATATGACAAGGATTATTGTAACCTTGCAACAAATTTTATGATAATAGAATGACAATAGTGACCTAACGACAATAAAACATGACATTCAGGACTGTAACCTTAGCAACAATCGTTTTGCCATAACATAAAAAATAGCAAAAAATAATATTGTAAATGTAAAACCAGATTTGATGAGATAAACTACTCACCTGCATCCCTAGTATCCACAGTGAATTCATTAATTTCATTGGCCATTCCTGTCTGCAGGCCTGGACCACTGACGCGGACCTTGCTGGCATTTCCGAGTTCACTCTCGCCCACGTAGATTTTGAAGGGGCTGCCAGTGATGTGTGTTCCATTCCTAAATACATTGACTAAATGCTCTCCAACTTCATGGGGAGTAAACGAGATTCCTGAAAACAGAGGAAAATACTAATTCAAATGAACTTTCCAAAACAATTTTTCGAAGAAATCAATGTGTTAAAATCTTTTGGTCCAATTAATACTTTTTGCATATCACAATGACCCATATATAGTCACTGAGCTTTTATTATATTCTTCCTTATATGGAAGTCCATAGCTCTAAAAAGTGACCATTATCATTGGACAATTGGACTGTTAAGATTGGATTCAATATTTACCTAAGTGACCATTGGCTAAACGTTTGAGCAGGCAGGGTTCCTCGTTGCCCGATGGCGTTCTAATAGTGGCCATCAGACTACCAATATCAGATTCAGTGACCTTGAGTGATACCTCACTACTACGACCGATCTGGGCACGTTTCTTCACCTCAGTAGAGGCTGAAAAATCCAATCAAATGAAATTGGTTATACATTTTGATAAAATCTTATATCCGATAAAACAGGTTTTTACACCAGTATCGTAAAAGGAACAAAAACAATAATTAGTATGTGAGTAAGTTCTTAACTTTCTCTTACTGCATTGAAACTAAATATTTCATTTTACAATTAAGCAACATATAAGATTATAAGTTTTAATCACTTACGAGTGATTTTGGCGGTGAAAGGCGAACCAGAGATGTGTTGATCTGCGAATTTACAGGTAATGTTATACTCCCCAGGGGCTGTTGGTATGTAAGATACTGTGCAAGTGCCATTTCCGTTATCCTGGCATTTAATCTCAGTCTTGGATGGACCTTCAATGGCCAGGGACAGACCACCTGTAAAACAAACATAGAAATGATCAAGTTTGATACAAAGAATATCAGATGTGATCAATATCTTCAAAATGCTTTTTTATCATTTAAAATCATATTGAGTAAACAAGAGTCTTTCTAACAGAGAATTACAAAGAAATTTATCAAAATTTTGCATGAATACCTTAGAGTATTAAAAAAATCCATGGAAAGTATACAACACAGGAAAATATTCACTACAAAACCATCCAGGCATGCATTCCCACCATCAGATCATAGTGTAGTCCAGAACTTCAGACAGATCTAACTTAGACAGCCACTGTACATTACTGTATATAACAAAATAGCCAGCAGCATACACCCAGAAATATCCTTGCCCCATGGACATTTGTAATCAGTATCATTTGGCTAACTTCACAAAAACTCTTATTTGTTGGCTGGAAGGTATGTTTTCTTTACAAAGTATATCTCCAAACTAGTTCCTTCATATCTTCTGTGGGTTAATACACATGTATGTAGGTTTTCACTTATCTATTTCCAAAAACTAAATTAACCTGATTCCACTGTACAATTTTCTGAAGTAAGAACAGCTATTTGGGTCAAGAGATAATCTGTAAGATGGAAAAAACAAATTTGTTGCTTTTATCCTGAAATAAACACTCTACCCTGAGGTAAAAATTCTACCCTGAGGTAATTACTCTACCCTGAGGTAATTACTCTACCCTGAGGTAATTACTCTACCCTGAGGTAATTACTCTACCCTGAGGTAATTACTCTACCCTGAGGTAAACACTCTACCCTGAGGTAATTACTCTACCCTGAAGTAATCAATCTACCCTGAAGTAAACACTCTACCCTGAGGTAACACTCTACCCTGAGATAAAAATTCTACCCTGAGGTAATTACTCTACCCTGAGGTAAAAATTCTACCCTGAGGTAAAAATTCTACCCTGAGGTAATTACTCTACCCTGAGGTAATTACTCTACCCTGAGGTAAACACTCTACCCTGAGGTAATTACTCTACCCTGAAGTAATCAATCTACCCTGAAGTAAACACTCTACCCTGAGGTAACACTCTACCCTGAGGTAAAAATTCTACCCTGAGGTAATTACTCTACCCTGAAGTAAACACTCTACCCTGAGGTAAAAATTCTACCCTGAGGTAATTACTCTACCCTGAGGTAAAAATTCTACCCTGAGGTAATTACTCTACCCTGAGGTAAAAATTCTACCCTGAGGTAATTACTCTACCCTGAGGTAATTACTCTACCCTGAAGTAATCAATCTACCCTGAAGTAAACACTCTACCCTGAGGTAACACTCTACCCTGAGGTAAACACTCTACCCTGAGGTAAACACTCTACCCTGAAATAAACACTCTACCCTGAGGTAAACACTCTACCCTGAGGTAATTACTCTACCCTGAAGTAATCAATCTACCCTGAAGTAAACACTCTACCCTGAGGTAAACACTCTACCCTGAGGTAAACACTCTACTCTGAGGTAATTACTCTACCCTGAGGTAAACACTCTACCTTGAGGTAAACACTCTACCTTGAGGTAAACACTCTCCTCTGAGGTAATTACTCTACCTTTAGGTAAACACTCTACCCTGTAGTAAACACTTTTCCAAACTTAAAGAAAATATATTTAAACATCACTGAAAATGATGCAGCATTATGGTGTGTTATAGGGCTGGACAGGAATGGACAAGGTAAAGCAGTATACCCCAATGTTTGATTGTCATGAGACCACAGACTGTTATGACAACTACAGGAATCTTTTATCATTTTCACTTCCCTTTCTAGAGGGAACCTTTATCTATCAACCTACATTAGTCTTAGTTATCATCAATTCCAGTGTTCATTGAAATTTCCAGTTTTATTTTAGGCATATCTTTGTGAAAACTTAATAAAATTCCATCCTACGTTAATGTCTATTCCATCAACCATGTTGCCACCCTCTGTTCTAACATAATATCCATTCCATCAACCATGTTGCCACCCTCTGTTCTAACATAATATCAATTCCATCAACCATGTTGCCACCCTCTGTTCTAGTATAATATCCATTCCATCAACTATGTTGCCACCCTCTGTTCTAACATAATATCAATTCCATCAACCATGTTGCCACCCTCTGTTCTAGTGTAATATCAATTCCATCAACCATGTTGCCACCCTCTGTTCTAATAAAATATCCATTCCATCAACCATGTTGCCACCCTCTATTTTGATATACAATGTGAAGTTGCACTGTTCAAACTGTTACTTCAGTCATTTCAGATATAAATATCCAATATACTGTTTTCCGTTCCTGTTTTTTTTATTGCAGAAAAGTTTTGATATACCGATCATCAGACCCCCTTTCCCTCCCCTTCCCCCCTTCCAAAACCCATTAGCATTGTATAATAGAAGGTTCATTATAAAACTCTACATCAATGGGTTCACCAACCTATTAAGACTTCTGGTAAATTGCCCAGAAGTCAGAAATTGTAAACTCATAACATTATCTCATGCAGATTGCCTTTCTTGATACGGAAAATGAAATGCAAGGATTTGAATGAAAACTTGGGCTAACAAAGATAACGTTCATTAGCATAGGCTATGTATAGAACAAAACCTGAAATGATGATAATCATAATGTAGAATTATTTCCTGAACGAGATAAAAGATACAAAAGGCGGTTCCTTACAGAATCAAGAAGACTTAAGGGTGTATGCTATATTATACAAACTACATCCCTGATCTAACTAGAAACATTTTGTGTAATTGATATCCATTTTTGACAAAAAATTTCTATAAAATGAAAACACTAAGACATTAAGGCTAAGGGTATTAAAATTGTTGCTATCACAAAATGACTATATGTTTGAGCCAATAGGTAAAAATTGTGTAAAATGGAAATCATGTGGCTTTCATTTCCAGGGAGAAGTTTATAATCCACTACGTAACCTAAATCTTTAATCTGATGAATTTACACGAGAACCACAAGTAAAATGCCAGTGGATTCGTTTCTTATCACGTCTCTCCTCACGAATTTAACACTTGAGCTAGATTACAGACATACTGTGTGAAAAGTTTACCACACTTCTGTCAAAACTTTTAGTGTCCACCGAGATAAACAGAAAAAACATTTACCAATAAATGAAAAACCGCACCCCCCCTCCCCCTCCATATCTGAAGGAGAAATCACGCAGTACACCTCTGTTACTGTAACCATGGTGATGAGAGACTAGGAGAAGATAACTGCAGTTTTCTAAAGGTAATACAGTGCACATGTTAAAACCTCATTTCTAATAATCCTTGAGGTTACAACAATGGATAAGAAGTTGGCTCAGCCATAAAATAACCTCTGAAATGGTACTAACTTTAAACCTTCTAACACACGACTACCGAAGCTGCTTTATTCATATTTCCCCAATAGTAACCATTCACTCCATTTCATTTTCATTTTGTTTTTATATCATGTTCTATTACAAGACACACCTGCACCAGTATCCTTGGTTACAAGTTGGTGTAATGTTTGATATGACATACCTGCACCAGTATCCTTGGTTACAAGTTGGTGTAATGTTTGATATGACATACCTGCACCAGTATCCTTGGTTAAAGGTCTTTGTAATGTTTGATATGACATACAATGTACCTGCACCAGTATCCTTGGTTACAAGTTTGTGTAATGTTTGATATGACATACCTGCACCAGCATCCTTGGTTACTATGGTGAACTCTGCAGGTTCGTTAACCACTCCATGACACAGGCCAGGACCATAGGCAGTCACATGACCACTGTTTACTGCATCTACGTGGAACTGGAACGGACTTCCTGGATAAGTAGAAAATAGCCCGGTCACTAAATTAGAAATTGACATGTGATTGTAAATAACAATTTGTTGAAAACTGTTTGTATAAGTTAAAAAAAGGAGAAGGGAGGGAGGGGGCAGGCTGATTTTGCAGTGCAGTTTGATGACGGCAACTTTTAAACATAGGGGCGTGGATGACAATGACTATTGCTTGTTTGTTGACATGACCAACACAAGGAGGAAGATAAATCCTATATATACCTTAACCAATTAGATTTCTTGGCCACCCACACATTATAAAATATTCAGCACTTATTTTAGGCCACATTTAAGGACAACTCTGTATATTTGTTACAGTAATAAACATGTCTATTAAAGAGGATTAAACAGGTAAAGCTGTCAATTCCATAAAGTTAGGAACTTTTATTACAAATTGAGAACAATGTCTGCTATATATTAACATCAAAGAGTCCGGGATCCACAATATACATCTGCTAACTTTATAAGAAGGAAGGGGAGACCAGGAAATGCCATCCCACTTTTCCATACTATTACCATCAGGAGCCCCCACACTTCCTTCAAAAACAGCCAAAACAAACTCTCCCCTGTATCTTATAAAATAAATCCATCGACTCCTATATAACAAACATGTTTTAAAAGCCATCTTTACCTTCAGAAGACATGCCGTTAAATACCCAGTTGAACCTGCACTACATACCAGAAATTACAAAGCAGGATATGTTTGATAAGGGTTGATTTTGATATGACATGAACATTAACCATACTGCATTTGTTTAAAATTGACATTTCCAATTACTGTTAAAGATCTCCTGACAAGTCTGAGCAATCGTTGGCCTCCAGGAAATACCATTTCTTTCAAATTCAATCAAGACCCGATTAGCTGATTGCAAGAAATGTTACATCATTTGGCGTAATGAGAGGCCATACATGTACTACCTACCAAACCTGCTGCCAACGGAGGCGTCTCATAGGCCAGAAATGTTTTGGAAATACAGAAAAAGTCTCACAGAAACATCCTTGAGCTAATTTTGAACAGATATATCTCGTTTTCTACACATCATTTCATCCACTGACAGCTGCAGATGATTTTAGTGTGCGTTAACAAGTAAACAGTATGTAATGGCTTAACCACTGTTGAAAATATTCAACATTGCTGAACCTTATATTGGATTTAAGCTAAATGACCCAAACCATGTTTTTCGGTGTAATGATAACAACCCATTACATCATTATTCTTTCATCAGAATTATCGATAAGAAAATATTACATAATCTATTTACACAAACAAAGACTTAACTCATTTACAGCTTTTCTTACATTTGACTTCTCTTAAACAATCAGATATCTTTTTCTTTTAAGCAGTCTCAAAAAAAACCTGGACAAAATCAATATTTTTTTTCTTCCGAGAAAATAACTGATACATCAGAATATTTTCTCAACCAATAAATTAACAAAAAAAATAACTTAATATAATCTTGTAACACTTGTCCAGTGAAATCAGTCTTACCAGATATGGGCACACTGTTGTAGTTGACATGAAGTTCATGAAGTCCAGTATCCGTAGGTTGGTACCTAACTGTGACAGTGCCATCCTTGTTGTCCTCGATCTTTGGGTAGGCCTTTTCTCCCGATGGCATTATAACATACGCTGTAAACAACAAAAAGGGACATTGCATATATCGATTCTCCAACACGAATATTTTAAAATTCAAAAATTTCACTGAAAACTACATGTATGAACTGGAGTATGAAAATACACTGGGTTAAACTTAATTTTCATATGCCATAATATTACATCACTGTGACAACTTACCGTCTACAAAATTGAAGATCGGTCCTACGGGGATACAGAAATCTACGGGCTGGAAAAGACCTTGACACGGAAGAGATGCTTGAACGTTATCTACGGTATCTGCGCTCAAAAGCTGCTCTTCTACCGCACCAACCTGTCAACGAAGCACGATCATTTTACTATTGTCAACAAACAGTGGATCATGTAACCATAGCAACTGCTATCAATGTATCCTATTTTGTCAACATAATCAGATTCCAAATTTTCGCTCTCAAAAATTGCTACCATAGCAGTAACGATCAACATAGTGACTGTATGTTTATAGTCTGTGTCTAACGGTGAAAGTCACCACAATAGTTACCATGGTGACACTGATTCAAACTAAAATCATTTTCGATTTGCTACCCTAACAAGGTAAATAATCATTATTTGTTCAACCTGACATAAGCACAGCTTTGTCAGAACTGATTGAAATTCAAAAATTTTTAACCTCCTAAAAAATGAACTTTGACTTCGGCTTAAGGTTAAGGTACATTAATATTCATGTACACTTGTCAAAACACACATACTGTCATTGACAATCAGTGAGCATGCAAATCAATTACAACAAGGTATTTGGTATTAACTTTTTTTCAAAGTTAGTTAATTTACACAATGCACACATGTGATCAATGCAGTTATGTAACCTTGTCTACCAGACTCAACCGCAGACTTAGTGACTGGACAAAAAAGCCCAAATAAGCAAACAGCATTCCATGTATTCTAGTCAAATTTCATGCAAACATACGTGTGATATTTCAGGAAGCAATTATGAATAATGCACTATATGAATCCATGTTAATTTGACTTCAACGTTTACCAAGTCAAATTTTCATTTACCAACACTGTAAGGTTTACATTTGTATCAGTTCTTTGAGTGAAAATTTATATTTTGTCGTGCAAGCAACTTATTTCAGCGACTTGTATTCTACTTTAGAGCCAAACACTATACCATAGCGTATATATGCACACAGTGTTCTACAATTAAAATGTTGTGGCCACTATTTGGTAATCTACAAACACTACCAGCCAATGTTGGTTAGTTATCTACATAGCTTCTTGTAAGTTTGTCTTTAAAATCTTAAATATTAAATTAATAAGCTTTACACTGAATATTACAACCTTGACCTTGGTCGATCGAAATATCATTCAAAATTAGATATCTAAGTACATTTCTTCGAACTAGCATGGTCAAATTAGACAATTAAATCTAGCAGCGTTTTATCCTAAAATTAGATACAAGTAAATCTAGTGACTTAGTATCATTAATTGCGACATAAACAAACTATATATAGATCTATATATATATATATATTCTATTGCTATGCCATACATATTCTATAGCTATGCCATACCCTAACAATATATTCTATTCATGCTCTCTGTGACATCAGCATTGACACGTGTTCAGTTAAATACATACAAGTCATTATGTTAAATTATGAAAACACTACCAAAAAGTAAATACTGTTTAATTGACAATGGGAGAGAAATTTCTTTTTTCTTTTTCCGCTTCACCACCCAACGATAAGATATACAGATGACCGTAAAAACATCATTTGCAAAATAACTATTTATAAATATATATATTAAACAAAACAAAAATATTAGCAGGAAATTTAGAAACTTCATAGTATTTTATATGAAACAAACATTAAATTTCATAGGGTGACATTATCGACAAAAGTTTTAACGCAGAAGACTTGTATGTATAAAACAGACGTGATTGGTGGAGAGTTTTGCCGATGTTTAGACCTTACCTGCTGCTGTTGCTGGAGATATTCTTCATAGTCGTCAGGTTCTACAGCCTAGAGGGAAACACGCAAACAGATCTCCGTAAGTTTACAGAGACATGCACAACATGCAGGTGAGGTTAAATGCTTTGCTATCTCATAACAATGCTTTTTGATATTACACCAAAGACAATTTCATACGTCCAAAAATATTTTGTCCAAATTTTCAATATTGTAATCTTTTTATATTTCCATTGTAAATATTCAATATTGTACAATACATTACAAAGTTTTTTCACTTTTAATTTCTTAATATTTATTAATTTTGCCTCAGATTTTGATGTCTCCTTAAAATAAAATTCTATAATACAAATTGTACCCACTATACATTTTTCTTGAAAAAAGAAAAAAAAACCTCTCAACGCTTTGTAATGAGATATCTAAAGCATGTGTAAGCAAAACAATTTTTCTTTCTTTTTTTCTTTTTTTTTAATCTTTTAAAAAATAACTGGTTTTAACTGGATCATAATATAACCCATCACAAACATGTCAACAAGGATTAAACTCATTATTTATTTTGCCACTTCAGATACATTCAAAGGATGGGAAACATGCACACTTCAAAAAGTTGGGGGGAGATGGGTTTAGGAAATGAGAATGGTGGGTGAAATTACTGGAAAACATCAAATATTCAAGAAATCACTTCAGGAATTAAAAAACAAATTAAAAAAAAACTAATATCAACTAATCTACACAAAAATAAATCACCATCAAGCAAAAAGAATTTTTCAGCAATGTTCCATCTATATTCCTGGCAGGTTTTAATTGTCACCGTTTACATCCATTGTTTATGTGCATATCCATAGCAACGAGTAAAGTCCAAGTGACCTTATTTTCACTAACGACATGAAAACCTTGAGACCAGTATCAAGTAATCTGTAGCCATCTCCAGTTATTCCAGTTATTACAACATCCATTCAGCTCCGAAAAAAATCATTTTGATTCCTGAATTACATAACCTCAAAAAGTCACCATGACCTCTCGAATGACGTTCCCAAATATAACCACGACTTTGTGCACTTACTTGATTCTTCATTTTACCTTGACCTCCTAAATAACCAGATCTTCAAAAACTGACCTTGAACTTTAAAAAGTTGCAACACTACGATTCCAACATTCATTACTTGTATTTCATGACTTTGGCAGACAAAAATATTACCAAGAAATTCCTGAAATTCTCGCACATTTTAAACTGTATGATGGATTAAACAGATGTTTAATTAAACAAAGGATGAGCTAACTGTGAAACTAATGGAGTTGATAGATTAATTCACTGAAGTATCTTATCAAGTCTTACAGCCCAAACAACACATTTCATCTAAACTTGGCACTGTTGCTACTTCAGTACTGACTGACCCCTTCTATCCAATCAACCAATGTCTAAATTTGTATTGAAAGGTGCTATTCACATTAGCGTGTCTTTTGTACAATTTTCGAAAGTATCTTTACGCTAATTCTTTGGAAGCAGATCACAAGGTTTCAGTACAATTGTAAACAACAAACATTGCTATCTTGGGTCACACTAGTTATTTGTCAGACGAAGGTGACAGCGTAGCCATAAACATATCATACCTAATTTTGTTTGTGATATAATAATTATATTCAATTTGTGTTACTGTAACAGAGGTCATTATTTATTCCAATCTGCTAGGATTCGAAGCCGGAACCTCTGGCTCGCTAGTCTGACACTCAACTGAGAGTTCTCTCTGAGTGGTATATCACAACTTGTATTTTACTAAGGGTATGTTACCAACATGAAGAAATATTCCGAGATAACATTGCTAACTCGTGTGCATTACTTGGAATTTTGCCGGAACATGTAGAAATAGCTAAAATTAGCGAGGATGTTTATTTTTGTTTTTGCATAAAAATGCTGCATGAGCATGTCACCTAAAATAGAAAGCATATCTAAAGGAGGCTTCTTTGGAAGTTTGCCTTCAAAGATTTCACTTATTTTTAGTCTTTTGTCACGATTTCAATATCTTTATTCATTGAAATAGAAACAATTTTGTTTTTTATTTGGCTGTTGGCCTTAAAATTGTCAGTCTCTCTTTTAAAAGTTTTTGATTTAAGTCCACTAAGGTCACAAACTAAATTGTGCTGTAGGCATGCTTAATTTGAATTTTTTTTTTAGTAGAATTTGACAAGAAACTGAGAGAAAACAAAAATTCACAAGCTTACAAGAAATAGTTTCTGGTTCATATCATATATTTTAACCTGAATCACTCAAAACATATGTCTGTCACTTAGGCTTTAACAACAGTTAAATGAACATAAAATTTCAATCCCAAATAACCTTAACATACGCCAAAATTTTATCAATGATAATGGGGGAGCTTCCAGGTGTATTTACATCCTAATTCTGTCTACAAATTAGAAATTTCTCAAAATGAATATACAGAAAATATCAAAGTAAATCGTATTTTAGAAACAAATGGTACCAGTTACCTACAACTGAGTAAATTTCAGTAACATCCTCAAGCTACGTCTCCTGTTTTATATTTCCTGCAATCTTTCAACACTCCATTAAAACTGTTTGTCTTTTTCTGATGAAAAGCAGCCCACAGTTGATAAACAATCCTTCACAACTGGTTTGATAAAATTCCATAACACCTGCATAGAACTGAAACCTTCATCCAGAGCTTTTAATACCAGAGGGAAAAATAGCTGCAACACCTGCTCTCATAATAGGGTGAAGAAATAGACAATGCACCTGTCGCTGATGTTATCAGTATAGTATATAGTAATCCAGCCTCTTTACTTTCAAATTGCTTTTTTCATAACATCAAAATTCTATCATTAAGGACAAAAGACATCATCCAAATTCTTCTATTTTGCCAAAATGGCCAATAATTATTTCATTTGGTCAGTTTGGACATGAAATTAGTTTAAATCAATTCTTTGTAACAATGACAGCTTTTATTTTTAGAAAAGAGGTCAATCTTCTATGCCAATTACGAATGCTGAAAGTTCATCACCACATAAATGACATAGTAAAATAAAGGATTTTGAGAGAGAGAAGATTTTACTTCAAAGTTCATAACACTTCCTCTTCATCTACAACAGTTACTAAATAAATACTTTTCAATCTCAATAAGTTGTGTAATGCAACAAGACTTCTCCCAGCTTGTCGATCTGTCTGTATGTTATCGCTATTACACCACGATTTTCTGTGTACTTGCTGAAATGCCTCCCTGAAATGTTATCATTCAACCCCACGTTTTGGCCACACTTCATGAGATTGTGCTAAATTTAAGAACATTATACCGTGCACTGCTCTCTGTATTGTACGTGTAAATGTGTTTTGGCCCAAAACTTTCAA